GCGTCATTCTTGGAGGTGCACACGGGCTCGAGGGACTAGAGGACGACGACTCTGGTGGAGCGGTGCTTCATCTTTCCCATTGAAGGTGGCGGATCTCGGTGGCGTGGTGTTGTTGAGACTCGGCGTCTGATGCGCGGAGATGGACTCGCGCAGGAGGAGGTTGCTGTCTGGCGTCATGGTGACGTCGGTGGCTGAGTGGCCAGACAAGGTAGAAGCCTCAATATGACTTGAAGACGGACTTGTGGAAGATGGCGGCGACGACACACGAGTGTGTCTGGCCGGATTGTGTCCCAGACCCGGTATGTGGCTCGGCTGGGGCTTCCGAATATGTTTCGGCTTCCGACTTTTGATGTTAGGCTTAGGTGAGTGGTTTGGGTAGTGGCCCAGCTAGCACCCCTTCATCATTTTGGATAGGAGTAGCGGCATGTGTTGCCAAGACGATGGATTCAGGCACATTGTTGTAATACATTGTAAGGTCCTCGAGAATAATCAATAAAGTGGCCGCATGCATCTCCCAGATGCAGAGGCCGGGGGTCATCCTCCTTTTCTAAAAAAAAAAGGCATGCTTCCCCTCTACACTCTACGTAGCCTTGGTCGCCTGATTTCCTTTAGGGCTCCGTCAGATAAATTCACACTTTACGTAGCCTTCACTCGGGTCGTGCCCCTGTGACCCCGTAGAGTTTAAATATGACTGCTTTCTTTGAGATGGTTCTTTGGATGTTGGTAGTTTTAACTAGTTGCGCGCCTGTAGTGAACTGGTACTCTTTTCTATGGAGAAGAGAAGAGAAACCGGGAGTTGTCAAATCGCTATAGTTGCTCAACTTTGGTAATCTGCACTGCTAGTCCTTTTTCTTCTGGCGGTCTTAACTAGTGCTGTCAGAAAGAGATTCAGAATAGGTTTCCTGAATGCACCACAGCACAGTGAGAGTGAGCGAGCGTCCCATTCCTCCCACGCACGCAAGTTGAGCCCCAGTTAATGTTGCGGAAAGCCATGGGCATGCTATCTTAATCTACTGCTTGATGGAAGTATAAATTCCTGTGCCACGGCCCAGGGTCGGAAGCACTCTTGTCCAATGCCTCTAACAGTTGCAGGCTCCTACGGTACAGTGAAGCCGGCCCGGGCCCTGGTCCGATCCTGCCTCCGCCCCACAGCCACACTGTCCGGGTCGCGGCCAGGAAGCGTGCTTGCCTCCTTCAACAGTGCGGCAAAGCTCACCAATTTTTGGATGCAAGAAATGTACTTACATGGGACATGAACAGGCGTACCAACAGCTCGCCAGTGCCCAATCTCTTCCTTTCAACAGCCAGCGCAGTGTCACTACTGCTTGCTGATCAACCTACGTACTCGCTCCGTTCCGAATTACTTGTCGTAGGTATTGATGTATCTAGATGTATTTTAGTTTTAGATACATTCATTTCTATGATGAATAATTTGGAAATGAAGGGAGTGTTAGTTAGTACTAAAGCTGCTCATGGCCATGCAGTGATGAGCGGTGGTAACACTGAAGGCGTCCCGTCACCTGACCTTGACCCTGACCCGGATCGCATAAACAAAGAGGTGGTGCTGTGCTCTCTGCACTCAAGGATTCTCAGCATCTCCAAGAGGCCACGGACAATGACTGTTTCCGATGGCATCACATGGACACACAGACGCAGCAAAAAATGACTGACCTGATGCATCCAAAACTCCAAATTCAGTCTTAATAGATTCTACTTTTCTAAAGAGGTGTAACCATTATGCTTTGAGCAAATACATGTGTACAAACGGAATCCCTAAAAAAACCCAGTGGTTTCATCAGACGTGGCCCTAGAAGAAAAACCGTGCGCGCTCGCTGCGTTTCTGGGCCAGCTCATGTTAGGCCAACTTCACCATGCGATCTCAAACGGACGTCCGATTTGGCTGAATTTTATCCCTTTGGGTAGGGCAATGGGGTCGTGTCCAAACCTGTCCTGGGATAAGGTGCCCGTGCGCCCAGCGCGCGGCCGCATCTGTTTGCCTCATCCTGTCCGCCAGGGCAAAAAATGCCCATATTCTCATATCAAAACTAGTTTGCACGTCCAAATATTTGTGTAAAAATAAAAACAGTTTTACAACCCAATTAAAATTGTGTTTAATAAAAAAGTTTTACAACCAAATCGAAATTGTCTTGATTGAACATAAAATGAACCAATACATCTATTGGTTGGCAATGTGATCTAACACGTGCTCAACCAAGTCATTTTGAAAATCCAAATGACTGTGCCAATCACGCAGCTCACGGTGAAATTGGACAAACTGTTCAAATGTGGTCGGTTCTTGGTGCAAGGGCTCAACATTTTCACCTTGATAATCAAATCCTTGGTCGAAGATACTCTCATCACGCTCGTCCTCGACGACCATGTTGTGCATGATCACACAAGCAGTCATAACCTTCCAAAGCTTCGTTTCATCCCATGACAGTGCATGGTTTTGAACGATACCCCACCGTGATTGAAGCACACCAAAAGCACGTTCCACCTCCTTTTTAGCACTCTCTTGCATTTGGGCAAATCTCTTTCTCTTCTCACCTTGGGGTTTCGAGATTGCCTTCATAAAAGTTGACCACTGAGAATATATATATATATATATATATATATATATATATATATATAGCATCAGCTAGATAGTATCCCTTGTTGTACTGGTGGACGTTGATCTCAAAGTTGACAGGTGGGGAGTGACCTTCTGCAAACCTTGCGAAGACTGGAGAACGCTGCAGCACGTTGATATCATTGTGAGAACCTGCCATGCCGAAGAAAGAATGTCATATCCAAAAATCCTGCGAAGCCACCGCTTCTAATATGACAGTGCACGCTTTGACATGCCCCTTGTACTGGCCCTGCCAAGTAAATGGACAGTTCTTCCACTTCCAGTGCATACAATCTATGCTGCTAAGCATGTCTGGAAAGCCTATAGCCGTGTTGGTCGCCAACAATCTCTATGTATCAGCGGCAGTTGGCTGCCTCAAGTACTCCGGGCCAAACACCTCGATCACAGCCTGGCAGAACTTGTATATTGACATCAGACATGTTGCCTCACTCATACGCACATACTCATCCACCAGATCGCCTGGAATTCCATATGCAAGCATGCGGAAGGCCTCCGTGCATTCCATATGCAACCACTCCCTCTCGGATACGATTGAACACATGCCTTGCCATTCGAAAACGGCGATGGAATTTATCCGGCTTGAAGAGCGGGGTGTTGGCAAAGTAATCGGCATAGAGCAGGGCGTGGCCTCTCTCCCTGTTGCGGTTCAGGTTGGGAGCACGGCCAGGGAGTGACCCCCTGTACCGAGGAAGCTGTTGTTGAATGTGGTCGTGAACGACCAGTGCAACCACCACAAGATCTTCATCATCCGACGACGAATCGTTCGATGAGCAAATGAAGTGGTGGAAGAAAAACTCATCTCCACTGTCCATACCTTTGTGTGCAAAGTGTCGAACACCTTACGGTTGTGGTCGCAAAGAGGCCGCGATGATCACCTCGACGCGGCAGGGGTGGTTGGCGCCTGACTACTGGCCGCTCTGGAGCTCTCGTCGGAAGCTGCCGCGACCGCCGTGGTACGTCGCCGTCGGTCGTATCCCCTCTGCCACCGGCTACGACGGCGGCGGCCAAAACTATGGCGAAAGCGCGGGCGTGTTGGCGGCCATGTCGAGACGTGGTTTTGGTATGGATGGTTGTGGCCTGCGCAGTGAGGAGTCGGTCGGAGAATAGCGGCGGCGCAGAGAGAGGGGGTGAAGGCGTTGGAAGCGAAGGGACTGCTAGTGTCCCCGACAGGCGGGCCACGGGAGGACAAGGGCGTGCGGCGAGCCCGTCCGCGTGATGTCCGTTTCACTCCAAACTCGGCGCAACTTTGGGTCGAGATGGGTCGGAAACGGATGAAATCCGGATATTTGTCTGTTTGGTGCTGCGTGTTGGACCGCGTTATTCGTCCGTTCTACGCTAAACGAACGCATCCGGACAAGATGCGATCGCGCGGTGGAGTTGGCCTTAGGATTCAGAGGAGGAAACGAAGCGGCGGGTTGGCGCGGGCGGCCATGTTTTTACCAGCCTACCTGACCTGCAGCCTGCTTGTGCTTGCTGGGTAACAAGTGCCTCTGCCCGCCTGCTGCCAACAAAGAAAGGAATGATGATGATTCAGTAACAAGACCATGATGAGCGCCATCCACCTCGCACACACACAAACAGTCCAAGCTTTGGCCTCCCATCAGTCTCACGCTCCACCATGACCATGACCATGACCAGCATCCACTCACTCCACTCAGCTTACTGCAAAGCAAACGGCACACAGGTGCACAACAGTAACCTCACACGTCCAATCACACACACACACACACACACACACACACACACACACACACACGATGCAGCCATAGTAGCCTAGTGCCTAGTGGAATCCATCCAAGCCATCCCGCATCAACTCAACTTGCTTGCCGCTTGATCACCACCCAGAAAGCAGTCCAACACCGCGCCAGCTTTTCAGACAAGACGATGACAAGTTTCCACCCCATCCCCATCCGCATCCCCATCCATGCATGCATGCACGAATCACAGTCAGTCACAGCACTGCAGAGTTAGAGAGAGTGAGGTGAAAATAAATCTAGCTCTGATTGATTTCATTGATGGATGGAGGACTGGGGCACAGAGAATAACTGAGCTGCTAATCAAGCTAAATTGAAGCCTACGGAGATGACATGTTGTTAACTAAGAGGTTACAGTGAGGTTGGGGATCAGGCTGTTCCTTACACTGAGAGATGGATGGCTGGCTGGCTGAGCTACTACTGACTGACTGACTGCGGGCTAACTCTAAGTTTTTACAACAGGTGAATTAGAAAACCTAACGCTACATTTGCATTTGCATTTGCATCGCGCCCACGGCATATGACAAGCTGCTGCTGCTGCTTCTTCTGGTAGTGGTCATTTTGGTGCTACAGGGATCAATGGAGGAGCTCCTGGTGGTGGTGTGAGGTATGAAGCCCTAGCAGTCTAGCACCGTCCACTCGTACCGCCCGGGGAGCGGGCAGCCGCTCGCAGGACAGAAGTTGTACCTGATTTCAACATCACAGTCGAGTGTTAGCAAGTTTCTCTTTACAGTATGTGAAGAAGAGCAGAAGGAAGCATGCTCTTACTTGTCCCTGAAGGTCTGGTGTTGCTGCTGCTCGGCGGCGGCGAAGAACTCGTCCATCTCCAGCGAGCTCGGCACGTAGCGGCAGACCGGCGTCTGCGCCCTGCGGCGGGAGTGGTTGCGGGCTCCTCCGGTCGCCGACCCGGGGGTGCTCATCGTCTCCGAGCTGTAGATGAGGCTGCACGGCGTCGTCTCCCTGGCGCCCCTGCACGCAGCACCGACGAACAGCACAACATGAGGTTCAGAAGCTAGAAATGCACAAGAGGGCCTTGCAAATTACGTAGTACTGCTGCAGAATCAAGCCTGGTTGGTGAGCTCAGATGAGACCAAGCTACAGGAAGCTGAACACGACAGCTCATTCATTTTCTAGCATGCCGCATGATCTTGTCCATTTCATTGCTAACAAGTGCCCCACATCACACAATGTGAGGTGTGCCTGATTATTGGCGCAGCAGCAGCACAAGCACGCTGAATGACTGAATGCTGACAAGCAAGCAACAACTTGGCCTAATACGGCCAAGCAAGCTGCTAAATGGGGGGAGCACGTTCAACATGCATACGCCGGGGGACAAAGGGACCACGCGCGAGATCAATCCTACGAACAAGGTGTGGAATTAAAGAAGCTGGGGAAACATTTACCGAGGTCTTCCAAGGCCTGAATTACTAGAAGTAAAATCTTTTCTCTTCAAGTGGCTGGTGCAAATGCTCACAACAAGGGCCAAGGGGTAAATATGAATGGAGGCACTGGCTAGAACAAAAACGTGGTCCGGTCAGAGTGTCCATTCAAGCGGAAAGGTCCAGCCATATCCCTCCAGACAAGGGCAGGCATTCAATGGCGGCGGTGGCGCTCCGGTACAAGGGCCAATGATGAGCAGCTTGCCATTTTCACCCACGGCGGTGGCGAATGGGGCCCTGAGCGCGACGGCGGTGGCGCTCGGCTTTGTGGGATTGAAATTGCTGGCGAAAGGGCGGGAGAGGGGCCTCTCTCCCTCTGGTTGCTGTTGGGAAAGATTGGGGCCAGGCCAATGGAGGGCGGCTGTGGTGGGGAAGGGGAAAGGGGGCTACTTTCCCCTGCCACTACGGGGAAAAGGCGGAGGCCACGGCCACGGCCACTGGAGGAGGAGGAGGAGGAGGCTCCACTAATCAAGTGCAGCGCCCACTTTGATTGGGGGTTGATTGAGTGCGCCTGGATGCATCTTTGTTTGGAGGGGGAAAATGGCGGCTTTTCTGGAGGGGGGGAAATAGGGGGGCCTTTTTCCCCGGGTCAACACAGCGGACAGGCGTTTCTTCGATTCTTTCAAGCTCCAGCCAGCCAACGGCTAAGGCTTGAGGAAATCAAGGCCAGCGGAGGCCTTGATTCTTGCAGGCATCCGGGCACAATCAGCGGAAGGTGTGGCTATTTGGGCGCTTCAATCCTGATGGAGAAGAAAATCGCCGGACCAGCGGCGGCGCTCGTCTGAGAAAACTGATAGGGAGGGGGTTCTTGAGGTTGCCGGCGCCTGAGAGTTGAGATTTGAGAGCACGCGGCGGCGCTAATGGAGCAGGACGGCGACACGGCGGCGGATAAACCCTAAACCTCAGTCGTATTCGTATCGGCCGGGGCGGGGCGCGAGAGGGGATTGCTGACTGAGGCGGAGGGGGAGGATTGGCGGAAGAGGAAGGGGAGGAGAGAAAAGTCTGGTGCTCTGTTGTTACCTGTCGGTGGCGTCCCAGTCCAGGACGTTGTCGCCGAAGGAGACCTCGAGGTCGGCCTCGAAGCCCTCGGCGGCGAACGACGACGGCGCCTGCTCCATCCTCCTCCCACCGGCGGCCGGCGGCTGCGGCGCGTCCTCCTTGTCCTTGGGCCCCGGCGGCGGCTGCTTCTCGAGCCTCCTGCTCCTGAGCTCGAGGTAGTCGCCGTCCTCGTGGCCCTTGCGCTGCGGCGAAGGGGACGGAGCGCGCTGCTGCTGCGCGGCGAGGGTGCGGGAGCGGGTGCGGACGCCGAGCAGCGCGCCGGCGACCTCCATGACGGCCACCTCCCCCGAGGCCTTGCTCTTGCGCATGTACTTGCCCATGGCGCCGGCTTGCTCTGCTTCCTGTGCTTCCGGTGGGCGGGAGGCGGCGGCGGCGAGGTGGGCAGCTAGCTAGCTGGGCAACGGGAGGCGGGGGAATCGCGGGAATAATGGGCGCGTTGCGTTGCGCAGCGGGAAAAAGGGCGCGAGGGGGCGGGCGATTTGGCGGGCTCGGGCGCGCGACGCCGCCGCTGTATCTAGAGATGGACCCGCGCACGGCCTGGCCCTGGCCCTGGCCCTGGCCCTTGGGGTGGATGGTGGCGTCGCCGCGTGGGGGTGTGGTGCGGGTTTGGGGGTTTCCGAGGGCGGGCCACATGGACGTGCCTTGCCATGGTGGGGTATACTCTTGTAGTTGCATATTTGCAATGGTGGGATTTGGGGGTGGCATATCCTCAAGCATAAATGGGAGGCAAAAGGATGCTTATTGGATGTTTTAGGGAATAGGGGGGTGATGCCACTATTGTGGATAAAAGGAAAGGATATTCTCCTCACATACAAGGTAAAAGGGATTATTTTGACATGTACTAGGAGGTGTTGCTTTTGATTTCAAATACTACTCGTCGTTAGTGATCGGGAAAAAAACAATCATGGGTTTAGGGTCATGTCATGACGGCCGTGGTTTCGTTTCTATGAAATCGAACCGGGGAGCCGCTCCTTGGAGGTCTGGAAATACGAGAATTCGGTTACACATGCTTGAATTGGTACCATCGAAGTGTTATCTTGTGACATTCTAATTTTCACTGACGATAAAATGTAGTCCAACGGAATTAAGGATAAAGTTGTAATTCACGTTTGTCAATATATGCCTTGCTTCCTCTTTTCTTTTATGTTCAATCGGAATTAAGGATAAAGTGGTCCAACGAAATTAAGGATAAAGTAGTCCGACGAAATTAAGCAACCGAGGGACCATTTTCTCGAGAACCTTTCAGGAATATTTTTCATGCTCTCGTGCTAGAGTTGGCCCATTCTTTGTCGTCGTTTCAAATTGTTGTAAACGGAGATAAATGATACTCCTAAGTATTGATATGTATGACTCTGCATCCGTTGTTAGAATTGAAGCGTTGCTACTAGAGAAGGAAACAAGTTCACCGGCGCTCTATCGAAATTTGGACTCCCCAATACAGAACAAAGGAACTAATAAGGAACGGGCACGACTGTTCTTATCAGGGGTGTGAATAGTAAGATCATTTAAATAGCAAAAGAAACATTTGCATTTTTTTATGGTGCAAGATGCTTATGTGCGTGATGCCCATGTCAAATTTGATAATTGCAAGTTTGGTAGGTAGGTACCAAAGTAATCCCGGCAAGGAACACTGGACAGCGGTCAAGAATATCCTGAAGTACCTGAAAATGACTAAAGAAATGTTTCTCGTTTATGGAGGTGACGAAGAGCTTGTCGTAAAAGGTTATGTCGACGCTAGTTTCGACACAGATCTGGATGACTCTAAGTCACAAACCGGATACGTGTATATTTTGAATGGTGGGGCAGTAAGCTGGTGCAGTTGCAAGCAGAGCGTCGTGGCGGGATCTACATGTGAAGCGGAGTACATGGCAGCCTCGGAGGCAGCACATGAAGCAATTTGGGTGAAGGAGCTCATCATCGACCTAGGAGTCATACCCAATGTGTCGGGGCCGACCAAGCTCTTCTGTGACAACACTGGAGCTATTGCTCTTGCAAAGGAGCCCAGGTTTCATAAGAAGACAAGGCATATCAAGCATCGCTTCAACTCCATTCGTGAAAATGTTCAAGATGGAGACATAGATATTTGTAAAGTACATACGGACCTGAATATAGCAGATCCGTTGACTAAACCTCTTCCTAGAGCAAAACATGATCAACACCAGAATTTCATGGGTGTTCGATTCATCACATGTAACTAGATTATTGACTCTAGTGCAAGTGGGAGACTGTTGGAAATATGCCCTAGAGACAATAATAAAAGCATTATTATTATATTTCCTTGTTCATGATAGTTGTCTTTATTCATGTTATAATTGTGTTATCCGGAAATCGTAATACATGTGTGAATAATAGACACCAACATGTCCCTAGTAAGCCTCTAGTTGACTAGCTCGTTGATCAACAGATAGTCATGGTTTCCTGACTATGGACATTGGATGTCATTGATAACGAGATCACATCATTATGAGAATGATGTGATGGACAAGACCCAATCCTAAACATAGCATAAGATCGTATAGTTCGTTTGCTAGAGTTTTCCAATGTCAAGTATCTTTTCCTTAGACCATGAGATCGTGTAACTTCCGGATACCGTAGGAGTGCTTTGGGTGTGCCAAACGTCACAACGTAACTGGGTGACTATAAAGGTATACTACGGGTATCTCCGAAAGTGTCTGTTGGGTTGACACGGATCAAGACTGGGATTTGTCACTCCACATGACGGAGAGGTATCACTGGGCCCACTCGGTAATGCATCATCATAATGAGCTCAAAGTGACCAAGTGTCTGGTCACGGGATCATGCATTACGGTACGAGTAAAGTGACTTGCCGGTAACGAGATTGAACGAGGTATTGGGATACCGACGATCGGATCTCGGGCAAGTAACACACCGATTGACGAAGGGAATTGTATGCGGGGTTGCTTGAATCCTCGACATCGTGGTTCATCCGATGAGATCATCGAGGAGAATGTGGGAGCCAACATGGGTATCCAGATCCCGCTGTTGGTTATTGGCCGGAGAGTCGTCTCGGTCATGTCTACATGTCTCCCGAACCCGTAGGGTCTACACACTTAAGGTTCGGTGACGCTAGGGTTGTAGGGATATGTATATGCAGTAACCAGAATGTTGTTCGGAGTCCCGGATGAGATCCCGAACGTCACGAGGAGTTCCGGAATGGTCCGGAAGTAAAGAATTATATATAGGAAGTGCTATTTCGGGCATCGGGACAAGTTTTGGGGTCACCGGTATTGTACCGGGACCACCGGAAGGGTCCCGGGGGTCCACCGGGTGGGGCCACCTGCCCCGGGGGGCCACATGGGCTGTAGGGGGTGCGCCTTGGCCTATATGGGCCAAGGGCACCAGCCCCAAGAGGCCCATGCGCCTAGGGTTCAAGGAAGGGAAGAGTCCCAAAGGGGGAAGGCACCTCCTAGGTGCCTTGGGGAGGAGGGATTCCTCTCTTGGCCACACCCCCCCTAGGAGATTGGATCTACTAGGGCCGGCGCCCCCCTTGGACTCCCTATATATAGTGGGGAAAGGAGGGCCTCTCATACCACGCCTTTGGTGCCTCGCTCTCCCTCTCCAACACATCCTCCTCCTCCATAGTGCTTAGCGAAGCCCTGCCGGAGTACTGCAGCTCTATCACCACCACGCCGTCGTGCTGCTGCTGGAGCCATCTCCCTCAACCTCTCCTTCCCCCTTGCTGGATCAAGAAGAAGGAGACGTTACGCTGACCGTACGTGTGTTGAACGCGGAGGTGTCGTCCGTTCGGCGCTAGGATCTCCGGTGATTTGGATCACGTCGAGTACGACTTCCTCATCCCCGTTCTTTGAACGCTTCCGCGCGTGATCCACAAAGATATGTAGATGCAATCCAATCACTCGTTGCTAGATGAACTCATAGATGGATCTTGGTGAAACCGTAGGAAAATTTTTGTTTTCTGCAACGTTCCCCAACAATAACTAATACCTAATCTAAATGGTCACCGAAGCCCGTTCTCCGTGTCCGCCCATCAACCCCGAGAACGAAAGCTTCACCCACTTGCGCCTAAGTACTCTCCAGCTCTGCCTCAGTAACCTCCGCCTCCGGAGGCCCGGGAAGTAAAGTTGTCTGCCTCCATATCGCTGCAAAGCGACTAATTAGCCGAAATGGTGAGCCCACCAAGCCTGGCGTCAATAGGAGGGGAGGAACGGTGGCCTTCCTAGGACACGAGCGACAGTGACCTACTGTGCACTACTCTTCCTCGCTACCGCCGGCGCCCGCAGACATGCCGACTTCGTGGTCGCCGCGGCGGGGCGCGGACTTGGCGATGTCCTCCTCGTTGTCGGTCTCGTCAAACACCGCCTCGTCCGCGTCGTCGCTCTCCATGTAGGTGGCCGCCACCGGGCGAGGTAGATTTCACGGGTGGAGCGGTAGGACTCGAGCACCGGATGCTGCTCCGCCAGGTCCGCGTCTGACGCGACAACCCTGTCAGCGGGAAGCTGCTCCTCCGCCTGCAGGTGCTCTCGCAGGAGGTGGTGGTTGTAGGCGGCGTCGGCCTGTGCCTCCCGAAACTGCTCCTCCCGCACCATGTCCTTGTAATGGGCACGTGCCTCGCCGATGGTCAAGGTGCAATGCACCAGCGAGGTTGGCGTGAAGGAGGAGGGTGGCGCCGGTTCATCGTCAGCAGCGACCTTGATCGGGATGTCATTGTCCTCCAGCTGCCTGCCAGCCAACCAGACGGCAGCAATGACGGCCATCTCCTTTTTCTGGTCCGACGGCAACCCGTCCCAGAGAGCTTTGGCGGGGTAGGGGCATCAGTTTTTATAGCAACGGTGAGCGGCAGATGGACGGGTGGCGTCGGAGGAGATGCCTCGGCAACCGTGTGCCATCAAGGTGGGCAGCAGACAAGCGAACGGACGACCGGCCGCCATGTCGTTTGAACGAACGGTAGTCACCTGCACCGGGAAGCGGCGCGGGCGGTGCTCTCTCGGCTGACGCCAGTGAGCGGTCTTGTCCGCTCTAGCCGGGCATAAATGCGGGCGCTGACCGACAACGCATGGGGAAATGGGGTTTTTCGATGGGTCAGAAGCGGGCGTGACAGTAGTCCGGACTCCCGCAAATTTTCCCCTTGTTTGTCTTCGGTTTACGGGAGTAATCACGTCCGAACCGTGCGATGGACCGATACAGACCCATCTTGGATGGTTACACCGTTACTTGGTCCCGATAACATGGTCCAAACAGATACGGAAAAATTTGAGGGTCGGTGTTGGAGTCTTGGAGATGCCCTCAGTTGTCATCATCATTTGAGAGGACCAACCCCAGCTTAAGAGGAGACTAGAAT